TGCTGCGGGACGCGGGGCGCGGGGGGCGGTGGAGTCGTGTCCGCCAACGAAGAGGTGCAGACGTTGTCCGGCAGCGTGAGGCGGGTCCCGTCCGGACTCCCCAGCATCCCTAGCACCCCGGGCTGCGCAGCCTCTGCCAAGGGCCCCGGTGCGCCGCAGCCCAAACCCGCCAGCCTGGGCCGAGGGCGGGGGGCAGCCGCTGCCATCCTGAGCTTGGGTAACGTGCTCAACTATCTGGACAGGTACACCGTGGCAGGTGAGCAAGTGCCCCATCCAGCCCGAGGACTAGGGCCCCTTCACCCCAGAAGCCCCAGGGAGCTTTTGATTGCCAGCCTCCTAGATCCAAGCCCTCTGGAGAGTCCCTAAGGACCCTATCTATGTTCAAGAGATGCTCTCCTGCTCCACGGGTCCAATCTAGTGCACCCCACGCTCCCCGTGCCAGGGGTTGGAGGAGTTCCCACCCCTAGAGCAGCCAGTGAGTCCTCGCCGGCCTTTGACGGCCCATCCGTTGTCCTCCGGAGTCTCCTCTGCGTCCCTCTTGCTTTCTCGCCTGTGCGCCCCCTCCCTCCGCAGCCTTACGTTCCCGGGCCTCTCCTCCTCTTCCCCTAGCTCAGGCCGTCTGTGCGTGCACCGCCCGTCTGTTCCTTCCTTCCTCGGCCGCCGCCACCCCCACCCCCGGCATGCGTGCGACCAGTGTGTGCGCCCCTTGCGGGTGTGCGCCAGGCAGTCCGAGTGTGTGCGCGCGTGGCGGCGCAGATATGTGTGTGAGAGCTTGTAAACGCGTGGCTGACAAAGGCTTGGGCCTGCGGGGAGCCGAGGGAGGGGCGGGGCGGGTCGGTGCCGCCTGGGGACCCAGGATGCGGTTTGCAGCTGGCTCTGGCTGGAGGCCTGGAGACGCCTCCTTCTGCTCCATGGCGCTTGGGGGCTGAGGCAGGACATAAGCCTGGGGGAGCGCACGGGGGGGGGGGGCGTCTAAAGAGATGCCTCATGCTCCTTGTGCATCTCTGGGAATCAACGCCACGTTTGGGACCGAAGTGGATACAACTGGGTTTTTATCCTGAAAGTGCTTGATGTGTGACCTTGGGCCAGTTTCAGCTTGTGTTTAGGTCTGTTTCCGTTTGTGAATTGATTGATCCTGGGCTTAGGATGGATGTGGTTCTGGGATTCTATTCTGTTGGCTTCTCTCCCTGTCTTCTCAGGGATGAAGAGGTAGGGACTTGTCCTAGAGCTGGCCCTGCTTGAGGATAATGCAGCCTTGAAAAGAATCTGACCGGGTTGGCCTCGGGGCTCCCTGTGGAGGAGACCGCTTCTGGGAACCTAACATTCTAGCCTAGAACCTAATGAGAGAAGGGGGAAAGGGAATGGGAGGAAAGAGAGGATGAATTGAGTATTTTGCATGATACTAAAGAACACTCAGGAATGATCTGGAAAAGAGAGCCCTGGCATACACCACATGTCACCTGGGTACCTGGGTGCTCTTCTTCCGGCCTCAGTCTTCTGTGTTGAATAGCTTTGTGTAAAGTGGAAGAAAAGAACTCTAACCAGGGAGCAGAAACTGCTCTTCCTCCACTCTTGCTTGTACACCCACCCACCCTTAGGTCTCTGTCCCTCCATGAGGGTGAATTTGAAGTAGAAGCCAGTGGCATCAATTTTGGGGTCAGGTTGTCCCAAGAGACTGTTCCCTTGCTCTGGTGAGCAAGAGCATGACATACCCTCAAGTGTGCCAACCTACCACGCATGCGATGTGCTGCCTGGGACTCGGGATCTTGGGTGCCACCACGTGAAGACAAGTCAGAGAACATTGGATGCCTTCACTTTGCAAAATAGGCTCTGCCCAGCTGGGGGGAACCCAGGCCTGTCCATGATGGCCCAGGGGGTGGTCAGCAAAGCAGGTGTTAGACCGGCTCAGCCAGGTCTGGACAGAGAGGTCACTTCTCTTAGGTAGGAAACACTGGTGTGGCTTTTAGTGTTGTCAAGCTTTCCAACTTAATGTCTTCTGGCCCCAGACCACCCCTTCTGAGGTTTCGAGAGGAACATGGCCAGGGGCAGAGAGGGAAGGTAGGATCAGGGAATTGGTGGTGGGGATTATCTACCTCCACCAATACTAGGGTCAGAGTGGGAGAACGAGATAGCGGATTTCTGGTGAACCGATTAGGGGGGCAGAACAGCAGGGAAGGCCTGGAAAGCTCTAGACACACACCCGCCTGAGCTGCGCATCCTCAGTGTCCTGCCTAGGGTGTGAGCCCGTGCACCACCCCCACCCCACCCCAACACAACATACATCATTTCCTCTCCGGATAAGCCTGCCTCCCTGTCTTTATGATGGCCTTCCCTCCCCCTGCCCCCGAGTTTAGTTTTTAGGAATATTTACAATCTCTATGGCGACTACTGTGGCTTTCAGGGTCTTGTGCCAGAACCTGAGTCCACCTGTTGCCTACTGGCCCTGCTGGCACTCTGCTGTGTGGGCACTTTTGATGTTTGTGCCCACTTGGCCCCTAAGAACCTCACAGTCTGACCCCAGCGACCTCATCAAAGCGTGGGGAGTCCCTGCTTTTCTTTATATCTCTCCTGCACAGTTCTGTTTTCTCATTACAACAGCCAGTTCTGCCCAGAGGATTATAATGCCGGCTAAACAGAAATGCCAAAATGTCTAGTCTTCAGACAAAAATGAAACAGGTGCAGTTAGTGTATTTTATTTGTATGTTTGCACATGTGGGTACATGTTCCTGTGGGTGCATATATGAATGTGGGTGAGTGTGGAAGCCAGAAGTCAGCCTCGGGTGTGGTTCCTCAGCAGCTGTCCCCTCTGTTTCTTGAGACAGGGTCTCCCGTTGACCTGGAGCTTGCTGCTTAGGCTAGTCTGGCTAGCTAGTGAGCTCTATGGAGTCGCCTGTCTCTTCCTCCCCAGTGCTGTGATTACAAGCACATACAGGCACAATTGCATGCTGTTGAGCGCGGTTTTCTAAAAAACTGTTTATTTTATGTGAGTGGGTGTAGAGGTCAGAGGACAACTAACAGGAATTGTCTCCTTCCACCATGCGTTCTGGGAACTGGACTCAGGTCATCGGTCTTGACAGCAAAAGCCCTTATTCTCTAGTAATCTCAGTGGCCTGAGACCTGGCTCCTTGCCCACCCACACCCCCACACCATGGCTTCTAAGGTCCTTATGCTTCAAGTCTTCATGAATCAAGCACTTTGCCAGACCAAACTATATCCCCAGACCTAACTAATAACTTTGTCCAACAGATTTTTTGGACAAAATATCCTGGGATATTTTGCATTTCTTTTCATAGTGTCTTCCAAATCATTGGATGATTTGGATTTACCGCCAGAGCCTGGGTCACACTTACAGTGGCTGGGGTCACAGAAGGAGACAGTGCAGGGGTAGAGTCTTTGCCGCCAGAGTTTGTTTCCAGCTGCATCAGTTTGCCAACTTGCTAGTTGTGTGACCTTGCAGCCATGTTCGGAGCCTCCCTCCACCTCGGGTGGTATGGAGTGAATGAGAATGTACCCACAGCACCTGGGTGGAGGTCAAGTACCTGGGAAGACTTCACAAAATGTCAGCTGTCTGCACTTTCATGAAGAGGCCCAAGCTGTGCTCCTAACCAGTATATCCTTCCTCATTCTCTCTGTGTATGACAGTCCCATTCAGGCTGTCCTTTGGGATACCTTTGTGAGAGCCCCTCCCTTTTGCACCAGGGTTGGTCTCTGTCCTGGGAACTCCAGTGGTTTCCTTCTGCCTCTGTGCTAGCATTCCCAGCGCCACCCAGGGATCCAGGTAATTATGGGCTCTCCTCCCCATGGGAACCCCCTGAGGGCAGCCAACCTAAGACTTGGGAAGGAGGGCTGGGCCCCCATTCTCTGCTCCTACAGTACTGCTTCACTAGGATAACACTGAGCCCAGCAACCTGATCTGAATTCTTCCTTCCACCTTCTTGTGTAGATATGGAAAAGAAGAACAGAGGTACCTGTGGCTTCCAGGCCAGGAAGAAAGTTTCCTTTCTGGCTGTGTGTCCTGGAACTAGACTGACCTCTACACCTCTGCTCGTCTTCCAAGGATGGTCATAGTTGGCTCCTGGAAGCAGGCCCAACCCAAAAGGGTTAGCCTGGGCTCTAACTGTGGTTGATGAGTGACTGCTTGACAACCAACATCCTTCCCCAGCTGTTTTGGAGCACCTGTGCCCTTCCCAAGACCTATTTTCTGTCCCTTTGATCCAGCCTGTGGCACTCTCCCCAACCTGGAGTTGGTCGTCATTGTAGGAGCTGGTGAGGAGAGACAGAACCTTGCCCTGGGGGAGTCATTTTCTGCCAAAGAAGCTGAGACCAGTATCCATGGCAACCACTCACTAACACAAGCCCAGAAGGAATGACGAGCACAGGGACCCCGCCAGGAACACAAGCCTGGCAGGCATGGGGCTTCCCTTGAGCCTCACGGCTGGGCCCTGAGTTGTGGTGCCAGGCTGGGGCCAGCTCTCCTACAAGTTCTTTGTTCCTCTGTCTAGTCGAGTCTGTTTAGGGCGGTTATATAGGGAAACTGAAGCCCAGGGTATCCAGCCACACTTCAGGGTCTTGTGGCTGTGTGATTGCCACTCTGGATAGAGATGGTCACCCTAAGGATGAACGCCACCTTGGGTAGCCCTGTCCTGGTAGTTCAGCAGACCATGTCTTCACTGCGGGGAATTCCCCACTAGTACTCTGGGTGTGGTGACCAGAGCACCCTTCTGGTAGCCATGCCCAGGTGAGCTTCAGAGTCCTGGAATAACAGGTGCCTCAAGGCCAGCTGTCCAGCACCATGCCCCTGCCTCCTCCTCAAGGCTCTTCCTGTTGCTCCTGCCAGCACCTCTACCATTGACCTCTCAGAGTTCAGTACCTCTCAGAGGAAGTACTCAGGGCCCCTTAGAGCCCTGACTTGGCCTCAGTGTCCTGTTGTGTAGTTGGGGCAAGAAGGTCACAGGGGCTGTGGGTAGCATTCTAGTCTGAGATGGGGACAGATGGAGCAGTTTGGAGAGCGGAGACCCTCATCCCTTCCCCAGATCTTTCAACAAGAGGAAGTGGTTTTTGTTTCTGTCTGGGCATAGGGGTCTGAAATCTCAAGGATAGACAGAGATAAGAACAAAGGAGGCAAACTGAATACTGGCCTCATCCCCAGGCTCTGAGTAGCTTCTGAACTAAATATCCTGCTTTGTTAGACTTCATCATCTTTGCTGTGTGATTCAAGGTGTCTCTTATTCCAGAATCTATATCCAATGATTTTTG